CAAAAAATTAAAAGTTAGTACAGCCCTAAGTATCAAATACAAAATAGGGCTGGGGATGTGGCTCAGTGGTCCAGTGCCCCTGAATTTAATCCCAAGTACCAAAAAGGGGGGCGCTGGACCACTGAGTCACATCCTCAGCCCTATTTTATTTCATTTAAAGACAGGGTCTCACTGAGTTGCTAGCGCCTCACCATTGCTTGAGGCTGGGTTGGAATTTTGATCCTCCTGCCTCAGCCTCCCGAGCTGCTGAGATTACAGGCATGTGCCACAGCACCTGGCCTCAAAAAACACTTCTGACAAGCAAAACAGGCAATTTGACACTGGGAGACAGAACTTTTCAACCGACAATGAAACAACTAAACAATTCCTCCACTTTTACTAAGAATTGGTTTTAATTTTACTTTCTTTTCTTTTTTTGGGTGTGTGTGTGTGTGTGTGTGTGTTTCTGGGGATCAAACCCAGGGCCTCAAGAATCATAGTTAAGTGCTGTACCACTGAGCTAGACCCTCAGCCCTGATTTTTTTTTTTTAAATCTAGTTAATATCTGTGTTTTTCTTTTTTGTTTAAATGCACAAAACATATGACACTAAACACATGTTCAAAGGCTCCTACACTAAAATCATTCTAAGAATGAGGTGGAAAATTCTAGGCATCCCAGAAAGAGACCATAATTTTGTAAATTAATCCTGGAAAAGTATTAAATCTGGAAATGTTATGATACATTTACTAAAAATTATATAGAATCCTTTAGTAACGTTAATGATAAAAAGTTAAAGCACATGAGGGGTTTCGTTTTTCAATTCAGTTCATAAGTAATACTTTTATTTCATAAGTAAAACTTTTAATTACTGTATTTATAAGTAAATACTTACAAAATAACTAAAATATCCTAAGTGGTATAAACATCAAGAGAACAAAGCAGTATTATCCATACTCTTGGCTTGCTAAATTTCTGTTATATTAATTTTCCTATATATAAAAGATCTAGAGAGGGTAACATTCTTATAACTTATTCTGCTGGTTAAAAAAGAATGTAGAAACACAAATAGAAATTTCTGCATGAGATTGATTCTCTACCTACAAAATTCTGTGTTTCTTTCCTGAAGTCCTGAGCTGTCCATATGCACATACTGTTGCTTCTGAATTAGAGGCTGATTACATTTTAAATCATTCTGTAGGAAAAAAAATGATGACATTTTATGATGTTGAATTATAAAATATGAACTAGGAGTATGTATATACAGAAGTTCTCTAGAGTAAATGGTCATTATTTGTTTTTGTCAAATCTATGAATATAAAAAATCTAGCCCTACTAAAAAAAAATAAGGGATGCACCAGGAAAGCCACAGTGAAAAAAGAGCTGCATTTTATCATCTGGAGGGAGATCAGCGAGGACTGCCTTGCTAAAGGCCTCCTAAATGGAGGGAGACTCACTATGTGCCTACTGTCCCATTTTTCCCACCCAATGGCAACTCTATTCTACGCCCCAGCACTCCAGAGTAGACTCAGGAATATCTGTAATCCATGAGCCCACATCAATAGAGATGTCAAGGAGCAGGGGAGAAACAATGGCCATTCTAAGACCTGCAAAATCATAGAAATGATTTTGAAAACAATCATAAAATTGTGAAAAAGAATTATTTTCATGCTATATAACTCTATATAACATGTTACATAAATTCAGACTTATCTCTATATTACAACAAAACTGAATATTTAACCCCTTATAATAGAATCAAATCAAGATCCATAGCCAGTCCAGTTCATGATTTTATAAGTATCCAATTTACACTGACAATGTAATTTTTAAATTATACTTAAAAATTTTAATTTCCTCAGAGAAAAATAAATGCTAACATTGCTATATCCACCAAAATTATGATTTAGTCTAATAAACAGAAACTTTAGGAAAAAAACAGTATCGAAAACCTAAAAATCACCTAGGGTAGAAAAGTAAAAGCAGTCAGGTTGAAAGCCTGGTTCAGAGCACAGGGACTCTGGAAAGCACCCAGGAATGTGGGGAAGAGCCGCTGCCGCCTGGCAGACACACTCTGCTTTTCATCTACAACTGTATTTTAATTATTTACAAGTAATTTACTTCACTATGGGGTACTAAAATAAATCATTAAAAAACTAATTTTAACTAAGTTAAAAACAAAATGCTAAGTGAAGATCAACTCTGTTTTCAAGCTCTTAGTGTGAAAGTGAACAATTTCAAGACATCTTTATAAAATTCTCCAATAAACAAACACCAGCAGCATTTTTAAAAAATACAACAACAACAAAAACCCTATTTTAGGTAAGTAGAAAGGTTGTCTTTAACAAAGATTTTAATAAAGACAACTAGGTTTCACAGAGACATGGATCCAAGTTCATTTTACATTGGGGATTTTTACTTTGCAAATTTAGCCTCAATTAATCCAATATAGAAATAAATCACTATTAGTTGAGTAAAAGTCAAAACAAAATGTTGAAGTCATATGTAAATTCTACTTTTCTTTCATATGAAATCTTCCTTTACCTCTTATTAAAGTATAGGAAGATGCTAAAATTAAGCTTTTCCATTAAATGCAAAGGAAATTTATAACTGAAATACTGAAGTTAAAATAGCTTGGCACATAATTAGGGAAGATAAAGGGTGCTCTCTCTTCAGCTAGTCAATGACAGAAAGCAAATAAACTAGTTTCTGTTTATAAAGACACATAAATAATGTACTATGAGACTAAATTCCTAAACTCAATAAAAAAATTCAAATTTTAATTCCTCTTCAATGCATTATCATTTGAACAAAAATTCTCAATGAAAAAAAAAATTTCTCTACTGGCCAAGAGAAAAGATCAACATCCTATTTCATACTCATCTTTTCTTTCACATCTGGGCTATACAGTTGTTAGAAGAAAAAGAAAACAATAAACCCAAAATCCAATTCAAGAGAAAGAAATAATAAAGTTAAATTTCTTCATTAACGCAACAAGAATTATGTTTTAGCATTGCCTAGTATCAACAAAAAGAGAAAATAAAACTGACTTTCAAAAGAAACTTCAGAAAAACATCAAACAAATATAAACTCACTTGGTTCCCACAGCCTTAAACTCTATTAAATGTTAACATTTGGAAAAATAACTCCACAGATGAGATATAAACAAGTCAAAAGATATCAAATTGCTAAATAATTCATTTATGTTGAAAAATCTAGCTCTAGGTAAAGTGAAACAAGGAGAGAAAATCCAGTGATACTTGAAGTTTTGTCCTCTTGCTGTTTAGATAAAAAGTCATTTTCAAGTGCCCTCTACTTTGATCCCATTCTTCTTGCACTTAAGATAATGAAAAAATACAAACATTTTCAGTCCGTTAAGTAATTGTGGTACTGGCTCTAGGAGCCACCTGAAGTCCACCTATCTCTTATCTCGACTTTTATTGTCTGGTCTAGGCCTCCAACTACCTCTACCAACGACCACCATAAGAACCAACTATAACAGTCTTCTTAATTTCAGACTTACCCCTGTATGATCCATTCTCCAGTCAAAATGATCTTTTTAAAATATAAATCAAATATTGTCATTCTCCTATTTATAACCCTTTTCTATAGCTTTCATTTTACCTTATAAAAGTAAGAATCAAACAACAGCCGACAAGACACTCCATGATCCTATTCCTGCCTACCTCTCAATATACTTTCCCATGTTGGCCTTTGTACTGTCCCTTTAAATTAGAGTTTCTCCTCCTCAGTACTGACATAGAACATTCTTTAAAGTGGAGGCTGTCTGTGCACTGTAGGATCTTCACCAGCATCCCTGGTCTCTATCCATTAGGTGCCAAAAGCAGCACCACCCTCAAGTGTCACAACCAAATATGTTTCTATGCATTGCTTTAACAAGCCAAGCTCATTCCTGCTTCCTGGGTCTTTTTCCCTCTCCTTCCTTCTACCTGAAATAGGAATTAGCCCAAATAAATTAGCTATATGGCTGGTTCCTCATCATCATCATCTCAGCCCACTCAAAAGAGATCTTCTCTAGTCGTTCTCCATAAATTTGCACTGACTTTTATCCTATTATTAGCCAAGCAGAAAGCAAGTGCTCAAAAAGCAGATGTGAGAATGCATAAATGTCAGTATTTATGAGAAAAGTCTTAAGTGGCAGGACCGTAACATTCAATATAGGAGGCCACAGCAACACTCCTGGGTATTCTCCTGTACTACATTCACCTGCATCTTTAAATACACCCATTCAAGTGCACCATAACTTTGTCCTTTAGAAGTGCTAGGAACAGTATCATCAGTTATAGGTACTGCATATTTATTACTTGTGCCTTAACAAAAATAGTTCAAAACCAGAGCATCCTTCAGTAAGATTGAGAAGAGGCATTTGAACTGTTCAGAAGAGTGCTGAACAACCAACCTACAGCTAAAAACAGCCAGGCAAAATAGGATCCTCATTTATTCTGTCTTGTACACAAAGGGCTTACCATTATGTCTAAGCAGTTGCTCTCTATTTTAAGTGAATACAAAAGGTCAATAATCTTCATTTTAAAAATAAAAACAGATGAGAGAAAAGCATGATCTGGCTACTTCCAAAGTAAAAGGATGTAATGAATGAAGTTTAAGAGTTGAATATGAGTTAATCAATCAGCTTTTAGTGTTTTATGTGAACTGATAAAATTCATTCAGGTTAACCATATGCTGAATAGTTAAGACCTTACCAAACTGTAGAATCAGTGGCCCAACTAGATTCCATTCAACTCCAAAAAAGACTGATTCACTTACATCACAAGGTTCCTTTCAAAAAACTTGTGAAGTTGTTTTAGATATTAGTACTTTGAGTATATTTTTCTTAAAAGTATTAGTGTAGTTCATTTTCAAATTATCATGTCATTGCTCTAAATAGTAAAATACATTTCTATTTTTTTTATCAAAATCACTAACTTTAAGAACAAGCATTCATCAGAGCATTTACAGAACTTGCAGGTCAATATACAAGTGTGAGTGAAGAGCTGAGGCATACCAGTTGTGCACCATGAGCTTCTGCACAGCCAGCAGAGCATTGTAGCGGACCTGCTGGTCTTCATGATGCATGTGGTTCATTACCAGCTGCTTCCCACCGAGCTGCTCAATAACCCTGCAGAATAGAAGAGACTTGGTGAAGATGCTACAATTACTTTCAAACTCATGCTGTTCATAAGAAGAAAGTTCAAATATGAAAGGATTTTCAAAAATGACAATGGATGGAAGTAAACCCAACACACATGCCTTCTTACATTGTTCGTCTCTGAATTACAGATTTAAAATATTCAAATATATTCTCTTCTGAATTCTTAATGATAAATCCAACTGTTATTCGAGTTTCTAAGTCAGAGAAGAGAAGAGATCATCTACCTGGATACCTCATAGATCACAAAGTACTCTAGTTGATCATTTCTGGATAGTTGAGTATTAACTTCTTTATTACCAGTATTTCTGGCTTGCTTAAAATCAATATTGAGCACCGTCTATTATTTATAACTTACATAAGATCAATATTAAGGCCAGCAGTTAGCATGCCGTGTAACAGATACAAGCTTAGATGCAGATAGTAAGGGACAGAGGGTTAAAGAGCATCCATGTTAATTTCCTGGAAAAGACCCGATTTTAAGATAGCTGCCTGTTTCTCATAACCATGGGATATGCCATGTAACCTCCTGGGCAATGAAGCAGAGGAGAAAATTCATGTCTTCAAAAGAACCAAGATGACTGACAACCAACATTGTTTTCTATCACTGTACCCCCCTAACACACTGAAAATTCACTTAGTACAGACAAAAGTAAAGTGAAAATGATTATTTTCTTCATAAATAAAAAGAGATTCTCTGTTCTTAAAGTGTAGTTTTTAAACAGAGCTATGGAGTCTCTTTTAAACTCCAACACAACAATGTGAATTTCTATGTCCATTCTGTATCCACCAGTATGATCTGATGGGTGATATCTATCATTTGTCAGGTACAAGAGACACCTTAATGAAATAAGGCATTTAGTGGTTGTTTCAACTTCACAGATCAGTAAGGCTTCTAATATTAGTAAGAAATGAGTGGATGGGGGTCAGGGGTGAGAGGGAAGCTCTCAATTGCATACTTTTTCATATTTTATTTTAGGAATCTTTTCAAAAATGTGTTGAATTAGTGGGGGAAGAGAACAATATAAGAATAACGAAACATTAACTGAGTGCTTACTGTGTGCCAGGTACTATGCTTTGAAATGCTATCTGATATACCAGTTCAATTATTAATGTGTTATATTAGACAACTCCTTTGCTGTCTAATAAAGTAAATTCCTCCCTGCAAACAAGGAGAACAAGGGCATCTCTATTATATCATTGCTGTAAAGATTAAAGGACATAAAGCCCATGTCCCTGCAGTGTGGTAAACCCAGGTCTGCTTCTAGGATGACACTAGTTCTGACACCAGGCTAAGATAACACTAGCTCTGACCCCAAGGCTACCTCCCCTCAACACATTCTCCTATTATACTCCAAGAGATCTCTGCAAAATACTGAATATCATTTTCCATACCTAAAATAATTCAGTCACTACCACTGCTCTTAACAAAAGGACCTAAATCCTTAAAATAGTCAACAAAGCCCTTCACAGGCTCATTTGGAGCCCCTGCCTAGCTTCAGAGAATAGGATCACATACTTCTTGTGCCCAGGGCTTGCTCTGCATATTTAGCTTATGGCCAACAGCACTATTAGCCCTGTCTGAAAGAAACTTAACTGCCACATACATTTTCTCCACAGGCACTTCACAACCTCTTAGGCTTAGAAATCTACTGAGTACTTCAGCAGTACTCTGCTACACTGGGGAACTTTTTTAAACGGCAAAATAAATAGCAAAAAGACCCAGAAATGTAAACAATGTGGTACTAAACAGACTATGTAAAGGATTCTTGTTGATTGTGGGAGAGTAAACACAAGAAGGCGGATCATAGCCTTGTTCTACCTCAGTTGAAAATGTGCCAATTGATGACTAGCTTTTCATCACTTTATACAGATCCGTGATTGACCATAAGAGTGCCATAAGCATTAACATGGGGATTACAAATTAATTTTAGTAGGTAGTGAAATTTACCAGTCTAGAATCTGCCAACAATGAGAATCAACATACAATCTCAGGAAGCTGCCATATTATGTATAAAATATGACCGAATGAAAAAACAAAGGGATCATATATCATTTAATAAAAATATGAGCACTTTTCTACATGTTGGGCACAGTGCTCAATGCATCATTTTTTTAAATCTCCTGTACCCTCACAACAAATGTATTACCAAGGAAATTACAGAGGACTGACATTTTAAATCCTTGCCCTTTATACTATCTTCTCATACTAGCACCAGCCAAGAAAATTCTGTAGAACTTTGCTTTTAATAATTGATACTGGATATGTGTGTACACAATTTACTGAAAGCATTTATTTTCAATCTACATTTTACTGCTCTCCACCCCACAGAATCTAGCAGGTCCTAGAGTTGGGATAATCTTACCCCACTGGAAATCACTGCTATAAAATAGTCATTTCTTTTCTTCTCAACTAGATATGCAAGTCAAGTATCAATTACTTTTGGATTATAAATATATCAGAGATGCTTGAAAAAAATGAAAAAAGAATTCTCCAGCTGGCAGATTATAATGAGAGATCATTTTTTAAAAAGGATATTTTGATGATTTAATTTAGAATTAAGATTCAAGTACTTCATTTTTTAGCTATTGTCTAATATGGATAACCGTGTTAACTATATTTCAAAATAAATTGAGTCAATAGCACATTAAACTTTAAAGACTTCAAATATTATAATACATGATTAGCAAGTTTAACCCTAGTAAGAACATTTAAGGAATGCACCAGCTGGTGAAATAGAGAAATATAATTTTAGAATAAACTTCAGATATTCTAAAAAGTGCAGAACTATTTTTGTTTATTCTAACGGTCTTTTTCCCTCTTAATATAGTTTAAATAATTCAGATGAGTTTATATTTTCTAGTAAGAATTGTGTTGTTTAGAATTGTATAGAGGCTAATGAAATTATATCACTCTATATTATTATCCCATGCACATTATTAAAAACTAGTTATTAAACTTCAGGCATGACATAATTTACATGAAAGTGGATACTTCTATATATATGCATCAATTTGCCCTCTAGAGTTCATAAGCTCAATGAGCACAGAAACCACACCTATCTTATTCCCCTTATAATTAGGAAGGTTATTAGTTCTTTCAACAACAAAAAGGTAATTTAGAAGATCTTTTTGCCAGGGAAAAATACAGAAGCACTTTCTAAGCATAAAAGTATTGGAAAAAACCACAAATGTTTCACTGGTACATAAGCTCCAAGGAGCAATACTCAGAATGGTAACCAGTACATTAATAAAACATCAATGATTTCATGAATGATTTTCACTACATAATAACTGAAATTTCTGTATGATAAAAAATTACAAACAGAAGTTGTTAATGTAATAATGTAATTTAACATAATAATGCTGCAGCTTAACATAATAATGTGAATAGCAAATTTTAAAAATGTTTATCATAAATGCTAATGTTCCTATTAAATCATATAAGTAGTCAAAGTATCAAAACCACCAATGTCATTTTCTCCTATAAGAGGTTAAACAGAAACAATAGCACTTAGCACTGCAGCAAGAATCATGAAAATAATGTTCTCATATATTGTTAATGAGAGTCTGAATTGGCCTACATTTAATGATATTTTTTAAGTGTTCACATGGGGCTGGGATATAGCTCAGTAGAGTGCTTGCCTCCCATGCACAAGGCCCTGGGTTCAATACACACACACACACACACACACACACACACAAAGGTGCTCACATGTTTCATTCTCATTAAATCTATTTCAGGGAGCCAGCAAAAGGAAAGTAATAAGAATTTAAAGATATTAATTCCATTTTAATAATAATAAAAAATTGTAAACAAACCAAATTTGCTATAGTAAAAACAAGAAGCTGAAATACAGGTAACTAAAGGTAGCATTACATTATATTTTTAAACTTTATATGGAAAATATTGAAATAAACAACTAAAAGCAAGAGATAAGAGAGAAAATATTACAAGACCACAGTTTTAGAACAAAAAATATGTATGCATAGCGGAAGAACAAAAACATCATTAAAATTATCTCATGGTTTGCAGCATCAGGATGCTATTTTTTCTTTATTATTCTTTTCTATAGTTTTCAAGTTTCCTGTATTGAGCACTTGTTACTTTTCATGATAACTTTAATTTTCAACACAGAAACTGATTGGGTTTGGTTGGCAAACAGTTTGTGCCACTATTAAAAACAATCTATTTGCATGTGCTATGCTAGGTTTTGAACAAAGGAAATAAGAGATACTTACCTGATATAAGTCTGTATTTTAAGAGAACAAGTATGACTTCTTTTGGCAATTCTTTCAGCACTTATTATACCCTACTGTATGGTGAGTACTATGCCTAGTCATATACGTTGCTATTTTTGAGAAGTTCACAATATAGTTGGGGAAAGAAATATAATCAGGTTATCATCGTACTAAACTACTCACAAATGTTACATAATGGAGATATTATACAGGATACTGTGCTTCTATGCTTGAAGATATGCATCTCCCTCAAGTTACTTACATGCTATTTTATAATGTTTAAATATTTGTAGACAATAAGGACAAAGAAGTAGTCATGAGTAATTATGGAATGCTAAAATCTTCAAATATAACCACAGCTTCACCAATTTTTTCCTCACATTCTAACAGTTCCTGAGTTTATTAACTTCTGTTGCTTGATAAATGTGTGTGTGTATATATATAGATATAGATATAGATATATCTTCATATATAGCTTTGATGAATATAAAATATTAACATTACTAATAATGAAAGCAGTCAATAATTACTGAGTATTGACTGTACACTGTTCTAAACACTGTATCTGGAATAACTCCATTGACCTCATTAGAAAGAAATATTATTATCCCAATTTTATGAAATAAGGAACCATTTAGAAAGGGAAATAGCAACAATTAGAACATAGCTTTTCACACAAAATAAAACAGCCCTTTTGCCCCATTTAATGTTTTTCCCTTTGATATAATAATGGCACCCTGATTTTCTATTTTTTTCCTAGAAAACCTGTATATCTTTTTGTTGTTAATGCATCTAAGTTAATTGTGTGACCAATATCACCTCCTCTCTAACTTGTCTCCTTAATACTTTGGAATATATAATTCCAATACTATCTTTCTACTATAACTTTTCTTAAAGATGTTGTATTTTCTATTATACTTTGAACCTACTGAGGTCAATCATAACTTATAAGTCATCTCTGTAACTACAAATAGTAATAGAAAAATAACTAGTGCTCACAAAAAGTCTAATGAATTAAATTATACAAACCAGAGAAAATCCTTAACATGAAATTTCTAATGTAATCTCTGATAGCTACTACATAACACTATTATTGCAAGTGTTCTTATATTTTTATACTACTCATTTTTAATTGGGTTTATCATAATTCACACTATTATGGTAATCTTGATTCCATTTACTCAATTAGTTCCTCTATTAAACCACTCTATTTTACTTATATAGGCACATTACTTAGGATTCTATATTGAAGATTTCAAAAAACCCAAATGAAATTATTGGTTTTCTCTTACCGTTTGCCTCGTGGATAATGCCGCACATATTCTCCAACATCATGTGCAGCAACAGCTAAGACTTGTGGATCATCTGATACCTCCAAAAGTTTTGTCAAGATTCTGTAATAAATTTAATCCAGAGAGAGCAAGTTCTATTTTTTCTTATAGATCACAGATATAATCCTAACATTTTCTTCAAAGTAGATGTTTATAAACATAATCATATTCTTTTAAGAATTTCACTATTATATATAAATTAGCAGTTCTTAAGCCTTTGTACATATATAACAGGTTAACTTGAAGATTCACAAAATACACCAAGCTGAGTCCCAAAATATCATAGGCTCCCTCTCCCTCTAAAGAAAGACAGCTAGAATGTGAGTAAGAGTTATTTTAATATGAGACTACCAGTAGATCTTTGTCAATTATATTTGTTAAATAAATCACCTGTAAATCACAGCACCAATTGTTAGTATTGGGACAGATTCTTCTCAGCACCCTACAATCAAGATGATAGATTAAGCACTAAGCCACTCTCTCTTGCCTTATTTCTAATAAAATACTGGGACTAAGTCCAATCACTAAAGCAACTGAATGTTTTCTAGAAGATGGCAGCCTAAATCCACCATTCTGACTCTCTTGCTTATCTAATACTTTCCCTCATGCAACCATACAGAGTGAAACTTCTTTCAGAGCCTCACAGGTATCATGAGGCTATGAACTAGGGATTGAAGCAGAGAAGGCTGCTGCTGGTCTACTACATTTTCTACCTCTCTTCACAAAGACCACCAGCGAGAGGATGTGGATCCACCCAGGTGATGTAAAAGTCCCTGGGTGAAGGAGGAGGAAGACAGTGCTGCTCAGAATCCAAGGAGCTGGGGAAAGACTGCCTTCCTCTTATTCAAGAAGCACATAATTTCTGTTATTTAAACTGTTCAAAGGTCCAGAAATGGAGGGGAAACTTCTCAACTCCTTTCATAAACAGAGAATATTATAATAACCAATCAGAATAGCAATGTTTAAATAGCTAGGTAGAAGACTAACATAAAACAATTGTTTTCTAATATGCCAGCAACAGACACCCAGAAATAGAAACATAAAAACATTAACAAAGTATCAAACTGAACTCAGGAGTGAACTCAAAAAGATAATTTATTCAGCTATCAGCTCAAATGTACCCTCTGGCTTAAGAGCCATATCACTAAGGCAGGACTCTCTGTGATACTCTTCTCATACTTCATTTTTCTTCATAGTACTAATTGCCACCCATCATTATATTCTCTGTCTCCTTGGTTGCTTATTTGGTCTTTCTACCCCAAATTACAATGTAAGCTTAACGACAATAAAGACTTATATTTGCCAATATATCTGCAACAACTAGAACCAGAGTGACCATTCAATAGATGCTCCAACAAACACAAGAAAAATATAAATCAATAATTTAAGTGTTAGATTGGTGATGCCAAGTGGGAAAAACAATTTTGACAGCTCCTGATGGAATTTAACATACACAGATCCTTAAACCTAGCAATTCTATTTTTAGAGCACTTCCTTACAGAAATGTTTTCACATTTTCACAAATATATATATGTACACCATCTTTTAAAATGTCTACAACAGGGCTGGGGGTATACCTCAGTGGCAGAGTACTTGCCTAACATGAGCAAGGTCCTGATTAAATACCCAGTACAAAAAAAAAAAAAAAAAAAAGACTAAGTCATTCTTAGTGACTTCAAGTTATCATTTGTAAAAAAGATAAGTATCAGATTAAGACTCAGTGGTAGAGTGCTCACCTAGCATGCATGAGACACTGGGTTCGATCCTCAGCACCACATAAAAATATTGTGTCCACCTCATCATTACCCTAAGTACACGTATTAATACACAAATGGTGTGAATATACTGTGTGTACAACCTGTGATATGAAAAATTGTGCTCTATATGTGTAATATGAGTTGTAATACATTCTGCTGTCATATATAACAAATTAGAATAAAAAATTTTAAAAAAATATTATGTCTACCTAAAACTAAAAAATAAAATCGAAAAAGAAGAAAAAAGAAAAAAAACATCCTTAGTATGATGGTGATAGTAGAAAAATTCATCATTATTTTCATCACCATCATTCATTACAATTACCCAGGTGATATATGTCTAGGCCCCAAAAGAACACTGGAGAGTCTACCTTTGGTTCCAGTTCCCCCAGAGAGGAATCTGAGATGGAATAGCAGTGAAGAAGATTCACTTTAGTTCTGTATGCCTTCACGAGTGCTGGAATGACCTGAACCAGGTCTGTTTGATATAACTTGGATTTCATAGATTTAGCAATACACACATTTAAAAAGGTTACCTAATTTTACCAAGATGTCCAAGATGTTATTATGCCTTGCAATTGCTAATTATTTAAGATATTTAATAAAAAAATTGAAACCACTGAGTGGTTCATTTTCATACAAGCCATTCATTTACAAAATATGTCCTATTTCTTAAAATATTAGTAGGAAATAAAACACAACTATCTTTACTTTTATTATTTACATTACAACAAATATATAAAAGCAATAAAACCCTCTCTTTGTTCAAAATTTTTACCAATCTATGAAATCTGCTTACTTTGATTTCTAGATAACATTTACTTGGCAATGTCTTCTAAGACTGAAGCCTAAGGTCTCTTGAGTATCTTTTCCTGTCACCATCTCAGCCTATTAGCTAGCTAAAATCTATTAACAACAGGAAGCACTGATAAAGACCCCTGTTGTCAATTAAGGAATCATTTCATTTCATCATGAAGTAATTGCACACCTTCTACTTTCTGGAGTAACTGGAAAATTTGGATTTCCAAGTTATAGAGAAGAGAGGAATAACCACTTGTTATACATACTATGCATGTTTCAAACTGTGTAAAATATTCTCCATAACAACACATAAATATAAAATGAGACTTATAGAAGTTAGGTAATATGCCTTTCAACATTTCAAATGTTAAAATGATGTTAAAAATGTTGCAATTGAAATCTTAATTATTATCTGCTAACTGTCCAGCCACACACATAACACAACTGCGCCCTGACAGAAATTCTTTCAACTCCAGCATATGTAATCTAAAAGATGAAACAAGATATATATTCAATTTTCCATATACTTATATTTTGAACACTTCAAATTATGCATGTTTCCTTTATAAAAGGCCAATTTACAAGTTATTCTAAAGTTAAATTCAACTGAATTTAACTTTAATTTTAAAAGATTAAACTGATATTATCTTGACATTTTAATAAGATATAGCTTTAGGAAGTTGTAAGTAAATTGTGTTAAAATTTATTAAACATAATATTTATTCTGATTACCTCAAACTGGACGGAAGTCAGAAAATTAGAGCTCAAGCCAAACCTGGTTGCCAACTTCCTTTGTAAATAAAGTTTTTCAGAAACATAGCCATGTTCATAGTTTACTTCTTGTTCATAGCTGCTTTACCACTACAACAGTAGTGTTAAATAGTTGAGACGGGGAGTAAATGATTCAACAAGTATAAAATACATAACATCTGAGCCTCTATAGAAACAAAGTGTGTCAATCCCTGTCTTAAACCATATTCAGTGGCTTAAACCATTCTCCATGTGGCTGAAATCCTGATACCCAAAATACGATGTACAAACCAACAACAACAGTACCACCTGGACACCTGGAATCACAGGCCCTACTCTAAACCTACTAAGTTAGAATTTGCATTTGAACATGATCCCATAAATATTTGAAAAGCACAGTCAGACTCAAAGAATGCTAGAATCAGAAAGAATCACAGAGACTTTCTATTAAAATCTACCAAACACAGAAATTATTTTAATGGTTCTCTTTGAGGGACATTTAGTCCACTGATATCTTCCTATTGTCTGTAAGTCTGTTAAAGTATGGTTTCTATTTGTAATATTTAAATTATTAATATAAATGTTCAAAATACGTTACAAAAAATACTTTTGTTAAGAAAAAAGAGCTCCCTCCCAAGCCATCTCTGAGTACAGTTAGTAAGTCAACAATAGATTCATCAATCATAATCTAAATTTCTATCACATTAACCACAAGCTGTGATTCTGTCAAATATTCTAATGGCGCCCAAACAGGAACATGCCACACAGCTTTGTAGTTAGAACAAACATGACTTACAACTCTGATGTTTGTTAGAAATGCTGTCTTGAAAAGTGTCTATATAAATTCAAAACAGAATTTAAGCTATTATTCTCATTGATCAATCAACAAATTTGCTCTGATCCTTCTTCACAATGTTTCCCTGCCTGTTTTATAAACTTGTTGCTCTCTTGGCTTTGCTTTTAACTACCATCAATGATTTTTTTACATTTTTTACATTTCTTATTCAAAATACATACTTATTTCAAAACTATAACATAAAAGCTCCAAGATATTTTTGAAAACCATTGCACTCAAAGGTAATAGAGGAAAAATCAAACTTATATCACATACTTGCTGAGTCTGAAATTACCCCAAAATATGTCACAGCCTGAAATAAGTGTGGTTCTCCACAGATGAAAAGGTCAGCACTCACAGTGCTTTTAAAATAGCAGAATTAAAGACTGCAACTGCATCTATCTCTTCAAATAGTTTTAAGAACAGCACTAATATACCCTTCCTGTCTATCATCCTATGCAACTAATTTTCAGGAATAAGATGAACAATGATTTCAAACTTGTCATCATCATGTAAACATAAAAGAAAAACAAAATACCAAATGCCATTTTTTCTGGTTATTTAGAAAAATCACAAAGGATCATACAAAGATAAAAAGGAATAATATGATGGAGTAATAAAACCTAATGCCAGGAAATAGAATGTGCACTTCAAATGCTCGTATTATGTGTATCATACATAGAAATCTAAATAAGAAATATATGCATGCCTAAATATATTTCATCAAATACATGTATCTACTTTTGCTCCTTCTGTCTCAGACTACGCTGTTCAATATGACATCCACTAGTCACATGTGGCTATATAGGCAAGTGCTCTACACTGAGCTACATCCCCAGTCCTACCTGTGGCTATTTAAAGTTAAATTTATTAAAATTAAATTCTAATATTAAGGGTTTTTGGTGATACCATCAACATAT